TAGGTAGTTAGTGAGCGGGCGGATGCAGGACGAGTAAGGTTTCAAAACCATCATCCACCCACTACCCGCGCGAGTATGACTTTTACATTCACACCCGTCCACTACCCACTAAACTTATACCCATCTCTACCCCAATTGGAACGAGTACGATGCGAAATTCACGAAATTGTACCCGTCTAGATGAGGTAGGAATCCTTCGATCAATCTCATGTCATATACTTTCTTAATCTATAGGTGTAGTGCTTCAGTTACTAGAATAAAGAGAAATGGGGATAATGAATCCCCCTACCTCAGGCCTTTACACATCGTGAACTCCTTGGTTGGAGAGTCATTTAAAAAATTAAGACCTTGGCTGTCTGGATGCATTCAAAGACCCACTTGCACCACCTTTTACCATGTCTCATTTGATGAAACACCATTAACAAAAATCCCACCTCACTCTACCGTAGGATTTTGAAAACTCAAGTTTCAGAATTATACATCCTCTTTTGCTTGCCTTATTTTCCAGCGTGTCAATAACTTCATTAGTAATAAAAATACAATCAAAGATTTGCATTCCTTTTAAGAAAACATATTGAGCCTCACTAACAGTCTTTTCCATTTCCCGCAAAGCCTTTTAGAAAGCACTTTGGACACGATTTCGTAGATTGAGCTAATTAGACTAATTGGCCTGGATTCTAAAATATTTGATGGAGCCTCTGATTTCGGGATGAGGACAATAAAAGAGGAATTCAAATTATTTGGTAGTTTACCAGTATTGACGAAATTCTCCATAATATCCTCATTCACCAGGTCCCAACATTTTTTCCAAGAAAAGACCATTAAACCCATCAGGGCCTTGAGCCTTCAATTCCCCACAAAACCATATTGCCTCATTTATTTCCTTTAAGATAAACGATGGTTCAAGATAAAAGAGTTTCCTTAATGACCTTCAAGAATCCCTCCCGTGAGAACCAAGTGTTGATAATCTTGAAGGGTCTTGGCCCCTAGTCCACCACCTCTCTCGCTAAAAGGAGTGAAATATGGTCCGAAGCATTTCGGGGTAAGCCATGGAGCATTAAATCCCCAATCACTTGAAACCAATTCTCCTCTAGTAAGAATCTATCCAACTTACTACGACTGCTCCCTAGATCGATCCAAGTGGATCTTCTCCCTATTAGAGAAACCTCGACCAGATTACAAATTTCAATGAAAGTATTAAATTCCCCTATTCATATGTAATTATTTCCTCTGCCTCTGGTTTTCTCTTTGAATCATATCGTATTGAAGTCGCCACCTATGAACCAAGGATGCTCCAGCTAATCTTCAAATCCACAAACTCATCCTATAAACTAAGTTGCACCCATTTTACAAGGTGCATAAACATTAATGCAAGTACAAGATATATCTTCTTCAACCCACTTCCTAGAGAGTATAATGTACCTGGGGGAGATGCTGCTCTTCTCTAACATGAATTTGTTCTTTTCCCATATTGTTAAAAATCCACCAGAATAGCCTGATGCCTGAGACACCTTGAACTCGAAATCATCGTCATGCCAAAGTCTCCCAATATCGTTTTCATTGAAGGACACCTTCTTTCTTGAATAAACATCATTTCAGCCTTATGGATTCTAATAAGTTCTTAATGCTGACATCTCCGTTACTGACTCTAATCCCTTAATATTTCATGTTATGATTCTCATCGCGATAACTTTGTCTATCGGGCGTACCTATTAGATTTGCTTGCTTCTTTGGTCAAATTTTTCTAACCTTGCGATTTATTTCACTGCCTCTCGCTCATCACCCCTAATTTCGACGCCAAGATTCTTACCCAACTGAAGCGCCTTCTTCACCTATTTAGTGTAATTATCCCATATCGCTTGCATATTAGAGTCTGAAAGTGATATCCATTCTAGTTCCGATGAGTCAACAGCATTCCCCCTTTTTTAAAATCTTCTTTGTAATCGGTCTCTCTTTTTCTTCTCTGCTTCAGTAGGGGCTTTATCTTGGAAGTCCTGGAGCGAGCTGTATCTCCTCTCCCGAACCGGTTTTGAGGTGATCGAAAATTCAGGAATCTTCAATCTGTCGTCATCTTCCTTATTGTGCGTACAATCATCTGCAAAGATTTCTACATAAACCACAGCCTCATATGTGCCCTTACATTCTTCGTTGTTCATGCAATCTACCCTCTCAGCCCAGTTAAGAGTTTTTTTTTCATTCGACCTCGACAAAATTGGGTCTTGGATCATTTCGACTTGGTCCTCCACCATACTGTGATCTCCAAGGCCCCAAGAGTGAAGCCTTCTTTTCACTTCATCTGTGTTCCAATCCGTAGCCATTGTACCAATAAGACATTTGCTGAGTTTCCACATAGATCCCTCTTCCACGTGCCCCTGAATTCTTTTATATTGCTCCACCCCCAGATTTCCTCTTCCACGTGCCCCTGAATTCTTTTATATTTCTCCACCCCCAGATTGCTAAACTCACCCTTACGTTTGCATTGTCTCTTTTCTTCAATCCTCGTGTTGACTTTCTCTCTGGGTTCTTTAAAATTTTTAAATTATTATATGTTATATATTATAAATATTTTCTTTTTAATTTTATTAATAAGTTATTTTCGATCCTAAAAATTTATAAATTCACTCTCTTTAAAATTTTAGAAGTCTACCCCTTAACATAAGATTATATGTAGGGGTGTGCAAAATTATCCGACCCGGTTGACCCGACCCGCCGACCTAGATCTAAAAAAACCGGGTAATTTTTTTAAAAAAATTATCCGGCCGGGTCGGGTACCTGGTTAGTTTTATTATTTTTTATTTTTTTATATATAATTATATAAAATATAATGAATTATTTATATTATGAATTATTATATTTTGTATTTTGAACTTTTAAATTTTATGTTCGGATATTAGAGTATGTAATTCGAAGTTTCGAACATTTAAATTTGTGTATATATTTTTAAAATTAATAATTTAAAAATTAAAAATTAAAAATCGGGTATCGGGTACCCGATTACCGGGTACCCGCAAAATCCGGGTATCCGATTACCGGGTACCCGTAACATCCGGGTCGGGACACGGGCCGAGAAATCGTCGACCCGAAAGTTCCGAATACCCGAAAATCCGGGTACCCGGATTTGCACACCCCTAATTATATGCACTACTTAACTTAATAAAATGAAAAAAAAAAGAAAAAGAAAAACATTGAAATAAAAATCATTTGCCATCTCCAAAGAAGAATTAATGTTTTTTTATATTTTTTTTATAGAAATGTATAGTAGTATACAAAACGTTTATATTGTAATGTTTTTTTATATTAATTTAAGTAATTATATATGATAATATATGTTTTAATTCTTATCTTTTAAAAAAAGTATACCAACATAAATTACTGTTATATTTTAATGTCATGTCACAATAAAATTATTATCTTTTTCATTCATTCTTTACATTTATTTCGTAATTCAATACTAGCTAAATATTGTAAAATTAAGCAATCAGAATTAGATAACTTTTTAAGAACATGAATTGTATTTGTTTGTTAATCAAATTCACATCCAATTAAAATTATTTAAAGCTAATAAGATTCACAAATCTATTGTTGGAATTACTTTGATGTATTTAATATTTATATTAAATTCAGAGTCCTTTTAAATATTTAAAATTAAAATATATTATTTAATTTAAATATTAGTATGATAATTACTCTTTGAATATGTCAATTTAAAAAGATATTTCTTATCTTTCTAACTTTTAATATTAAATATAATTATATACTTTTGTATATTTCAAATTAAATTAATATTTATTTAACGTGAATAATAAAAGGAGTGTATATCTGTTTAATATTTTAAATTTAAAAGATATTATTATATGTTTAAATTTAGATATTAAAAGATGTTTAGATGGAGTAAAATTCTCAGTTTTAATATTTTAAATTTAAAAGATATTACTATCTATTTAAATATAGATTCTAAAAGATGTTTAGTTGAAGTAGAACTCTCTCGAGATTCCTCTATAAATACTGAGCAAATCTCTCAGTTTTTTCACAACTCAAAATTCAAGAAGTGTTCTTCTCTTGAAAAAAAATATTTTCTCTTATTCTTATAAAATATTATCTTTCCCTTAGTTTTTTTGGGAGATAGTTGAAGGCAATGAAAGTTTGTGATCTTTATTGTTGTGCTACTATAGTTGATCATCTAGTTGTTGTATCCTGGGAGATAGACGACAAAAAGATCTAGAGCACTAAGGAGTGACCGAAAATTTGTTTCCAATTTAGTCTCGGATTTTTACTATTGGATAACAATCTTAAGACAAACTCATCTTCTATTTTCTTAATCCGGTATAATTCAGAATTGTGGGAAAATGAGATAGTTTCGGGATTTATCATGTCGTCTTATCGAGTTTACTAAAATCTCAAAGTGGACAAATTTGCATAATAGAAATTGTCATGAAATTAACTACGGTTACTTATTTATGAATGGTTGGTTCTGTCCGATAACAAACTCTAAAATAAACAAGAATTAAATTTTGTTTATTCACTACAAGAAAATATACCTTTAATGACACACGAACGATGATACACGCTAATTTATAACTTGCAAAATAAGTGTGTCATAAAAAATGTCATATTTCTTAAAATATAAACGATTTATGACTTACAATAATGTGTGTCATATTTAATAATCATAATTCAAAAAATTTGTAAAAACACGGAGTACACTTTTAATTGTGTGTCATCTGTAAAAGTCGTATTTTAATTTTTTCCCCCCCATTATTTTCATCATTTCCCGCTTCCCTTTGTTGCTATAGAAAATTAAGCATTTAAACGACAGAAACTAGATGGAGGAAGATCTAGACAAGTGCTTTTATGCTCTTCTCCTCAGTATGTTTTAGCTTATGTGATTTGTAACTTTTATCTGAAGTTTTGTCTCTTTGTTGCTTCCCTTTGTACCTTAGCTTCTGTGATTTGTAATCTTCTGGCACTATTCGTTTCAATGGCAGAAATGATGAGAAATGATCAGACTTCACCAGATATTCAGGTCAACACATTTTCTCTCCTGAATTTTCTATTAGTTTCATGCTTTACTTCTTCAAGTTATAATATGTTCTGTCTGGAATTGTTTAGACAGAGCTCTTGCTCTCTTTTTCTGAAGCTGCTAAAGGATGCACAAAGGATCTATGTTTTGATGCATTTGTTCCTTGTGATTCTTGTGGTAAGTAGAGTAAAAAGATTTCTTGAATTATGACACATTCAAGAATCTTACAAGCACAAATATAGTAAATTACATGCGTTAATGCCCTTCTACTTCTTAATTTATGTTTGTCCAAAATTGTTCTGTATTCTTGCTGCTAATATTTTATAGCATTATGATAAATGTATTTCTCTAATCTTTCCATTTTTGTGAAGGATTTCTTCCTCCGGTTTTTATATATGTAGTTTTCTCATGCCTTGTTTATTTCTTAATGCAGATGGGTGTGGCTATCCACCAAATGCCAAAGTTAAAGTTTGTCCAATTTGCGGAGGCAAAGGGAATGTGAGTTTATAAATCCTCCCAAACGGGTTCACTTTTTGAAGAGAATACATGTTACCTTTTATTTATTATACTTTATTGACTCTTTAACTCTTAACAAGGTTACAATTCCTCATTTTACATCAACATGCAACACTTGTAACGGATTGGGACGAATAATCAAGGTCTGGTTTCATTTTCAAAAAAAACCACAAATTTTTTTTACTTGTATATCATATTAACAATTAACATGGTTTTACATATATGATTCAGGAATAATGTATATCATGTCAAGGATCCGGGGTTGTTGAAGGTGTTAAGGAAGTTAAAATTACAATACCTGCAGGTAGATATTAGCTGCTTTTCTTTGACAAAAAACTTTTTCAAGTTCAGAAGATTTGAGACGTAGCTTTGATTCTTAGCCGTTCATATAAAGAAAGGGTTTCACAGGAATTCCTCATATGGTTTATCGTATAGCCTTGAGATCAAATTCGTATTTCTTTTTTCTCTCTCCCCTCCTATGGTTGGTTTTCAGATCTTATAGTGTTATTTCTCTCTCTTTTTCAAATTTTTTTATTTTCCCGTTTCCTTTTCCTAATTTTTTATTGCAATGCTTCGTTAGTAATACAGTTTTAGGTAATTTACCCATCTTTATGAAAGTATTACTTTTAGTTTCTGCATTTTGCATGGATGCATGAAATATCAAACTAGTTCTAGGATGTAACCTTTGTCTGCATAGGTGGCTACTTGACTGTCACAAAGAATATGTAGCTTAAGATTGCAGCATTAATTTTATTGACTCCTTTGTATTTTTCTATAAAATGATTAGGTGTGGATTCTGGAGATACAATACGTATACTAGAAGCTGGTAATATTAAGCGACAGGGAAATCAACCTGGTAACTTGTTTATTAGGATAAAGATGCAGTTCCTTCTATTGCCTTGTATCTTTAAGAAGCGCATTACTGAAAGTAGGTTATGTGCAACTATAGATTCATTTTTGGTTTTGAAAATTTCTGCTTATCAGTTTTGTTGCTCTACTTTTTCTTTGAGCTGGGATACATAATACCTTTTCATGAAACTAGAATATGATCAGTTTTGAAACTTGATTTGAGGTTGCCAAATTGGGTAGCAGAGAGGTAAATAACTAATTACTATTTGATGGTCGAGTTATATATCATCCTTGCTTCTGAACTTTGCTTTTATAATCTAGGTTACAGATGATTCTGTCTTTTCTAGAGATGGTGCGTATGTTTATTTCAATTCTAATATTAGCCTTACTCAGGTAAGAATATGGGCTATGCAAAATAATTACTGCACTTGACTATGTTCCATATAGTTGGATCAGATCTGATATTTCACCTACATTCAAAACATGATGTTGGAATCTTATTTTCTCTTCACTTTTATTTGTTCTTTTTTTCATGATGCCATTTGTCTCACCTTGGTCATTTCTTTGGATTTTACTGTATATTATCCCTTTCAGTGGAGATATCTTCGTTGATTTCTGAGTGTCCAAGCCTGATTCTTTTTGAATATAGCTTTTCGTTGCCAAATAATCTTATAGATTAGTTAATAGAATCCAAATATTTATATCTGTAATGAATGTTTGGATCTCTTACAAGCAATTCTTGGTGGTGAAGTTGAGGTGCCTACATTGTCAGGGAAGGTTCAAGTGAAAGTAATTCTCTTGGTTTTATGCAACTCTTTTATTTATTTGTGCATTACACTTTGGTGAGAGTTACTGAAAGGAAAAAAAGAAAAGAAAAAAGAAAAAAAAGTGTGTAAATCTTTCTTTATTAGAGGAGGTTGTCTAGTTATGCAAATGTAAGTACTAAATCTTTGAATGTCATTGGACATGAGCCTCAGTCTTGTCAAGAGTTGGGCATGTTAATGTGTAAAACCTGACTTGAATTTTTCAATTGATATAAGATAATCTGACCTTTTCTTTTTGGTCCACCATATAGAGATTCATTTTTCATTTATTAACTTTTAACAATCTATATGTATCATTGTATTCGGCAAAAACCATTTTGTGCTTTGAAATTATGGCGTTCTCATATACCAAAAGGATGCCAACATGGAGAATTTCTTGTTCTAAGAGGCAAAGATATGTCGAATTAGTAATCATTCCCCTACTGTACCACATCTCTCTATTTCTTTATGTTGCTTGAATATATTTTATTGTGCCATTCCTGCTACAAATGCGCTTTCTTTGTGAGTTCCTACAGGATTGCCAAATCATTGTTTTCTACTATATCATGGAGATCAGTATGTCCGCTTCCGCGTTAATATGCCAACATAAGCTTTCTTTAGCTTTTTCCTACTTTCGTTATTGGTTGGGTGTTTCTAAATTTATTACTGATGATGTTAAGATATATAGGTATGTTCAGGATAGCATTGTACCAAATTAGTCTATATGTTGTAACTTATCAAGTTATCATGTTAGGAACTAGGATGACTTATGTCTCTGAAAGGTTTTCGTTGGCTCTTAACTTAAAGTATGGCTACTGCGTGTTGTTTCTGCAGATTGAAGATTTTGGATTATCAAAGAATGCATATGTAAAATTGGTCATTTTGAAGATGTTTACTGCTTTGGGCATTTATTCAGAAAGTTTTGAGAAGCCTTTCCTGGAATGCACATCCGAGTTTTATGCAGTTGAAAGAATGAAATACATGCAGCAATCAGATGTTCTAGATTACTTGAAGCATGTAGAGGTACCTCTTCATATTTCACTTTCTCAGTTAGCAGTGATTGTTACTCTGTATTTTGAATTGTGCATGTTTTATCCTTCTAAAAAGAATGTTAAATCTGTCACATTATTCCATATATATGGAATTTGAATGTTTATCCCTCTATGATTTTTGTGTAAGTTTTTGTAACTGTTTGTGTGTATTGATGCAAATGAGGTTACATGAAGAAAATGAAAGATGTTTACTCTACATGGATGCTATTACAAGAAAGCCACTTATAGCAACAGGAGAAGGGACACCGCAAAGAATACACGGATGATGACATTGATGATATTCACAAAGAATGGGTATCTTATGTGGCAAACTTTATTATGCCGTGATATTTTGTATCGACATATGATTACAATATTTTTGATAACTTAATGTGAATATGTTGTATACAAATGGATTGCTTATATATAATATGATATATATTTAGTATTATGAGGCATTAAATGTGATTTAGTTTGATTATTTGTCAATTTACAATATATATATAAATATGTATATATATATATATATATATATATATAATTCACGAAATACAATAACGACACACGAATGTGTGTCATTTTCATTTATGACGGGGGCTTCAATGACACGCAATGTAAGTCATAAATGAATGTCATAAATTTATGACACCCAAATGTGTGTCATCTTCATTTATGACGGGGGCTTCAATGACGCGCAATGTATGTCATAAATGCGCGTCATAAATTTATGACGTACAGTTGCGCATCATCTTAAATTCATGTCGGTGGCTTCAACGATAGGAAAATGTGTGTCATCCGCATCCATAGATGTCACGCAATGCGCGTCATTAAAGGGATTTTTTCTACTAGTGATTGGAATTATTTCTAATTATGGTTTCGTTTATTTTACGAAAAATGGAGACAGTAGACTATATCGGTTTATCCAACTTGGATGCTAAGATAATGGTATCGGCTCATAATTCAAAACTGAATGTGAGTCAATCGGCAGTGGCAGTTAACCACAACGAGAAGCCGACTAAATTTTGCGGAGAGAATTTCAAGATATGGAAATAGAAGATGCTTTTCTATTTGACAACAATAAACCTTTCAAGATTCTTGATGGAAGATCATCTTGTTCTTAAATATGGAGAAGACAATGTTACTACTTTTAACATTGTTGAAGCTTGGAAGCATTCAAATTATATATGTCGAAATATAATACTAAATTGTCTTCAAGATTCATTATATCAGGTATATGTTGGATATAAAACAACAAAGAAATTATGGGAAGCATTGGACCACGAATACAAAAATGAAGATGGTGGAGCTAAAAAGTTTTTAGTTGCTATGTTTTTGAATTTTACTATGGTTGACTCTAAACTAATAGTAAAACAAGTGGAAGAACTCCAATTATTGATTAATGAGATTCTTATCGAAAGAATAATCATAGGAGAATCCTTTCAGGTGGTCGCCTTTATGGAGAAATTACCTCCTGGATAAAGTGACTTCAAGAATTATCTAAAGCACAAGAGGAAGGAAATGACCATTGAAGAACTGGTTGTTAGACTTCGAGTATAAGAAGACAACATGATCAATGCCAAAAAAGCTCAACAAAGAAGAGACTAAGGATAACGTGATGGAAGTGAGGGACTCCAAGAAGGAAAAACAACCCAAAAATAGGTCAAAACTGAGACCTAAAGGTGGAATTTCCAAGAAGGAGAAATTCCAAAGGAAATATTTTAACTATGGAAAGATGGGACACAAATCCTTTAAGTGCAGACATCTAAAGATAGTCAAAGCTCGCAAAGCTAATGTCATGGAAAGAATAACTAAGAATGTGGAGGATATAGATCTACGTGTAGTGATCTCTGAAGTCAAGTTGGTTGGATTTAATGCAAGAGAATGGTAGCTCAATACTGGAGCCACACACAATATTTGTTGTGACAAGAAATCTTTCTCTAAACTAACACCTTGTAACAATAGGGAGAAGCTCTACATTGGTAATGTCGCGAATTTCGAAATCAAGGGGAAGGGTACTACAATCTTAAAGATAACTTCTAGCAAAGAAATCAAGCTGTAAAATGTGTTGTATGTACCTGAAATACGAAAAAACCTTGTTTCTATATCACTCCTAAGTGTTAATGGCTTTAGAATCCTAAAAGTTAATTTTGCCTAAAGGGGGAATGTTTGTGGGTAGAGGATATAAATTGAACGACATGTGGAAACTCAATTCTGTCTTTGTAAAAGCTAAAAGCATGAATAAGAATA